CGTCGAGTAGGTAGGTCGCGTGGCGTAGGTGGTTCGCGTCGCGTCGCGTCGCGTAGCGTAGGTCGCGTCGAGTAGGTAGGTCGCGTAGCGTAGGTCGCGTCGTGTAGCGTAGCTTGGTCGCCTCGCGTCGCGTCACGTAGGGCCGTAGTTTTCCCGCCCGCCCGCCAACGGTCCTTTCGGACCGAACTCCCCAAGGCACCGCAGCGATCCGGGCCGTAAACGGCCCGACGGCCCGGATTCGCCCGCGATCTTAAAACTTTAAGATCGCGGGGCGATCTGGRTCGTCGGGCAGGTGCAACCGCGAACGGCCTGGATCGCCGCGCGGTCTTAAAGATCTAAGATCGGGGCCCAATCCGGGCCGTCGGGCCGGTAGGTCCAAAGACGGCCCGGGTTTCAGAATTCTGACATTAGCGATTTTTATAAGTGTAGGGATTCTATATCAATGCGAATGGAAGTTTATGGAACACAATTGCCAGCTCAAAGTGTCAAATGCAGGTTATGAGGGTGTCGAGAGATCGTACTCGTTACAAACGGTGGCGAGAGAATTGATAAGCACATCTAGCGCCACAGGATCCGACGTTCCCAGATCAGCCCTGCATAGCAAAAAAAGCCCCCCCCCCCAACACCCGGCCATCAACAGGCATAGACAAAATGACATCATCTCAAGTGAGGAATTGATTTTAAATTGGATTTGTTTGTCTTTTATAAATAAATAAAAAAAACGAAGAAGTCTGTGAGATTACACAAGCAGATTGGTAATGATGGATGAAGCCAAAGAAGGTGGTGAGGTTCACGAACAGGTGTCATTGCAGTCAAGCGTGTATGGAGACCGGCAGAATAAAAAGGGGTCAGATTCCCCGCACTTGGAGCCTACCTTATATAGGCTCAAGCCCTGCAGCAATAAAACCACCCCGTCCCACCGCATTAGTTCCCTTATCCCATCATAAGCTTTTCTGCCTGCCTCCGTTGCTTCTCTCTATCACTTCTCGTCGAGATTTTGGGTGAAACTTCCGCCGCGAAAGGTAGAAAACGAAAAGCATCTGAGAAGTGCAGTTCGATCCGGCCACCATGTGATCAAATGACACACACACATGCAACTTTTGTTTTTTTTGTAATAAATTTGGACCATTTCTAGATTTAGGCATGGCATCCTTGCGCAGGCCCCATGCTAATCTTCTCTCTGTATCCGTTCCAATTTTTAAGGATGCCTCTAGGACACACACGCAGACATGTGACTATTATGAGTAAACCCAGCACGAGTTTGAAGCCTTGTGGAATCAGGTTTTAAATTTTAATAATTCAATAACATAATAAAGTTAGGGGCTACCTACTTTCTCCGAGCTTCTCGTTTTCTTTGAGGGGGGGACAAAAAAAAAAAAAAGTGGGGTCGATAAAGGACGCGGATAAACATTTTGTCCTTCTTGTCCAGTAGTGCCGGTAACCGTTTGCTCGTTCTCGTCCAGGGACATTAATAACTTAAAAATTAAAATCATAAAATGACCACTCAAATAGATTTAATGATTTAAAGCAGATTGACAAGGTCAGGAGTAAGGACACACAGAGAGGCTTCCACCAGTTCCTTCGCTCCAATAATATATATTCACCATGCGACTATTGGCATCCTCATGTACACCTGTGGAAGTCCAGGTCTTCCCTGCCGTCCTCAACCAAATAGAATGCACCTTCCCGAATAGGCAAGAATCGGAGAACTGAGATCTTCGACAATGATAATAAAAAACAAAGAGGCAGACGGATACAGAAAATACATCTGCACGGGTTCATGGGGAAAGGTAGGGAAGGAGCATGAGAAGCGAGCAATGGGGGAACGATGATGTGGAGGGACCGAAATAGGGGGCATGGAAAGTGGAGGGGGAAAAGGAGAGGCAAGGAAGGAGGGAGGCAAAGGAGGATGCAAGGAAGGGGCATGGACGAAGAAGGGGGAGATCGACGGGCGTGGAAGGAGGAGGTGGTGAAGGAGGGGCATAGGAAGGAGGAGGAGGCAAAGGAGGGGCATGGGAGAAGGGAGGAGGTGAAGGAGAGCCATGGAAGGAGGGGGCAAAGGAGTATGTGGAGGGAGCAAAGGAGGGAGGGGCATGAAAGATCACTGGACACTGCACACCTACAAGAATGTTTTATGGTCCGTTCAGATTTTGCATGCAACCTTTTCCAAAAAAAAATCCTCTCAAACGATGAAAGACACCTTTTCCAAATTGGGTTGTCTTTGCATTAGCATAGAGAAAGAAGAAGACGCAGGAAATAATAAAGGAGTCACTGTTTTTGGCTCACCATATCCTTCCCCACGTGTCCTGGAACTCCCAATCACCGATATTGTGGAAACAAGCCGGTAGTGCTTCTGCTGCGTCTGCTGGACTGTATGACATGGGCTCGTCATACTTCTTTTTCGTTAACTGAGAACAGAAGCAAAAAATACGTTTGTCATTAGAAAGAGAACAAACAGGTCGCATCAACATCATTCTCAATCACTCACCGGATTCTATATGCTTCCAGAACACACACACAAACACACACACACACACACACACACACACGCACACACACACACAATCAGCACACAAGCACACACACAGTCATCTGTCTTAGGTATGTTGCTTCTTGCTCTCCACCCTTTTATGGATCAAATAAGTATAGTAGTATATACATATAGAATCTATAGATGTATATGTGCAAGTGTGCCGCTTCCGCGGCAGACGAGTGTGTGGCCACTTGGCGCTGAGCCACACAAACGTGGGCAACCTTGCATTTTCTATTGTATTGTCTATATCTATACTTCTTCGTTATGGATGGTTTGTTATGATTTGTGGAGGAAATGAGAGAAGAGAATTTGGGGTGCTTTAAAGTTTAAACACACACAGGTACGTCCGTTTCCCCTTTTTTCCTAAGTACTTTCTACGTATCTAGGCGAGCACCTTTAAGCAGTGCCAAATAGTCGGTCATTCCTCGTTTGGAGTGCCTGCAGCACTATTAGGGTTGGGGCGCTCAGTTTGCGATCTGTTTGTCCTACGGGTGATGACGGATGTTCCTCGGAGTGACTCCGCGGCTCGGCGAGTGGTGGGAACCAACTGTCTGTGGGCTTCTTCTTGTGGTGTGAGTAGGTGACAGATGGCTTTCGTCCCATGTCGAGGGTGTGGACTGCACACCTTGTCTGCGCTCTCCACTGCCTTGCTGCCTGCCTGCTTGGCATGCAAGTCGTTCCGTGCTGCTTGCCTGCTTGCCCCGTGTAGTTTGGTCGGTAGATTGTGCCTCGCCGTATTGCGCCGCCTGCTGCCCATCCGCATTTGAATTCAGTAAATGGAGGCTACGCTGTAGCAATTGCAGGTCATATAGCTTTTCTTCCTAAGAGTCTTTGAAAAAGCCGAAAAGTTTTTCATAGTCAATTGAGAATGTTCTCAATCTTAAAAATGAATCCAAAAATTTTGAATATCGTAGTCGTCCCATCCCATGCATTTCGCTTCTGTGCCCTGCAGTCTTGCCACTCTCGCAGCACTGCTCTGTGTGCTGCGCTGTGTTGTCGCCATGCGGCCTGTCTGCTTGCGCTGTCGTTCCGTGAACAGTTAGCTTCGACGTTATGCAGTCGGGTTGCCCCGGCAGCGTTCCCTGGTGCTTCGCTGAGTCGCTGCCTTCTGTTATGTTCCGCTTGCGGTGTTGCCTGCTGGCAGTCTGCTTTCACTAAGGATCAAAGCGTTCATGAACCAAAGCAAAGCGTCGATATGGGGATTCCACAGATTGTCGAGGGTTCAGACACCTGATGAGTCGGTGCAACTCCGATGAAACAATCTTTCATCATCAGTTTAGTTTTTTTTTTTTTTTTTTTTTTTTTTTTTTTGCTGGGAATTGTATTTTTTGTTGGCTTGCTGATTCTATCCTTTGCTGCCTTATGTTCTTCGTCTGCCCACTCGCCTCCCCTGTGCCCTCCTGCCTATGTCTTTTGTTGTTGCTGCTTGTTGCTTTTTCGACTCACCACTTTGTCCTTTGCCACTTTACGTTGTTTGCCCTCCCTCCCACCTCTCCCACACCCTCCCGCCTGTGTCATTCTGTCAATCTGAGCTCTCCCCGTCTTGTGTCAATGTGGTCTGTAGTCCGTTCATACGATGGGCATGACCGTTTGAGTCCCGGGCTAGTGTTTTATCCCTTGAAACCTTGTGATGCGTTGTTCTGAAAAAGTTGTTCTTGTGTGAAGCTGTGGAGCGTTGTGTTCGGGTTCGGTGACCGAACCTGAACGTTCGGGACCGAACACGAACGAGCATCGAAACTCTCCGAACGCGAACATAAAAATATTTAAAAAAAAAAAAAAAAGCTCTCCAAAAAATCTGAAAAAAATCTATGTTCTGTAAAATAATAATACAAACAACTTTTGCCTTGGAGGTATGGTCAAATTCGTAAGTTCGTAACCAAACTCGAGTTAAAAATCAAAAACAAAAAAAAAACATTTTTTTTTATTTTTTTTTTTTTAATATGTTCGGCCGAACACGTTCGGGTGGCGTTCGGCCGAACACCCGAACATGTTCGGACGGTGGGAAAAGCTTCGAACATGTTCGGTGTGCAACACAGGTGTGAAGCTTGATCGCTGGCACCAGTACACCACACATCGGCCCGCAGGTGTCAGCACGAAACCCGCACCACTTCGGAGGCCGCCGTTTTTTTTTTCAACGGCACCCCACACCGCGCGGCCCCTCTGAGTTTTGCTTGTGGCGACCAAAACTGCAAGGCGGGGACCGTGTCCTTGGGGGTTAACGCATACACATAGACACACACACACGCAGACCCCTACGCACCCACAAGCACCCACCCACACCCAGCCACCCAGCCACCCACACACACACACACAGGCAAACAGATGTGTCACATTGTGATGACACGCAGATGCATACCAACCTTCTAATCACTACTGGCTATCAGAAGGTGGATGTTTGCCACCTCCCTTCGCCGTAAACAACGACCGTTCTACCACCACCACCATCTCCACCTCCTCCTCCTCCTCCTCCTCCTCCTCCAGAAATGGGCACACTCAAAACTCTTGCTTGCTATCTGTTAATTGGAGGTCAGAGAGGTGCAGTCCAGCCAAAGACACGTAACCTTGTTGACATGCCTGCTCAATCAAGGAAAGATGCACCAGAATCGATTTGCTATCAGCTGAAGAAGAAGCGCGCACACACAAGTCACACAAGCAGGAAGGCAGGCTCTAATTTCGCCAAGGCCAATTAGTTGAACTGACCTGCATATTCATGTAATTGAAACCGCCAAGCCTCCCAAGGACAAACCAGGAACGCATAACCTGCAGCATCAGCGGAAACAGTCCGAACAATGAAATGATGAAGACTGCGAAGGACAATTCCAAAAAGTCCCAAGAGTTCCAAAAAGTCCCAACAGTGACCAAGGACAGAGAAAATATTATTCTATGCACGACACGACTCTTTCAAACTTGCCACCACTCTATTGACAACATATAGCCTGAAAAAAAGCTACATAATGAAGTTGAAATGTGTCAATTCTGATCATCAAAACTGAGGTAAACCCTGGGTTAAATCAAGGTTACGATCCGGACGTCCGGACGGCAGTGCGGACGGTCTCCGGGTCTAGATGTCTGGGTCTGGTGTCCCGGTCCAGAATGTACGGATCCATCCCCCCGCCCCGCCGCAAAAAAAAATCCAACTTAAAAAAAAAAAAAAAAAAAAACGAATCTGAAAAAAAGATATGTTGTGCAGCATTGCAATACAAAAATCTTTTGGCTGAGGACCATCTCGAAATTTGTAGCCAAATCCAAGGGGAAAAAAACGAAAACGTTTTTCTTTAATAAAAAACTTAAAAAAAGGTTTTCTTAACTTTTTTAACTTTTTTTTTTTTTTTTCAATCCGGACAGTCTGAAGCAGTCCAGACGCAGGTCCGCCCGGATGTCTGGACTGGTCCGGTGTCCGGACGTCCGGACGTCCGGATCGTAACCATGGGTTAAATGCAGCCAAACTTAGATAAGAACCATATGGGGGTAAACAACCTTCAGCTGCAGTAAACTGGGGCTCACTGAGGTTAATTAAACTACAGCAGTGCGAAGCAGGCAAATTATTTTTAACTGCAGTAAAACGAAAATTAACTAGCGTACTAAGGTTAACTGGGACCAACTAAGGTTAACTATGAATACCCTTCAACTGCAGTAAACTGGGGCCAACTAAGGTTAACTATGAATAGCCCAGACCTACATTGCTATGAGACAGAAAGAGGGGGGGGGGGGGGGGGGAAGGGGAAATCAATTTTGAAATGTGAAAGGTAATAATCACCGTTACAATGTGATTCATGCAATTTTCTAATAGCTGAGCGATGGCCAAATAGCACCAAAGGCCTAATAACGGTACTTCAGATATCACTCACTACCCTGTGTAAGGAGAGTCTGTCAAACATACCGTGAGGCGCAGAGTTGGGCAAACTTGGGAGCGAAGTTGGGGGACCCCATTTCTCTGGGGCAACAACAGTAAGAGATTGTACCCAGAGTTCGACTTTATTTTATTTATTTTTATATATTCTTTGGGTACCCAGAGTTCTTTACAAGTGGCTGTCCGCGGTATCGTAAAGGGGTAGGCTCACCTCAGGTGGCTGTCATCAATGTCGTGAAGGGGTAGGCTCACCTTGTTCTCCATGTTTTTAAAACAACACGAATAAAGAAGACCCAGGGTGGAATGAGCAATGACGATGTAAATACACAGCAATCAAGGAAACCGAAAAAGGAGGAGGTGCTAGACAGCCTAGGACCAGAGGTGCTGAGCGATACACAAACGTAGCTCTCGATAAACACATCATCGAGTTCCAGCCCTCGTGGGATTGTCAATACAAAAAAAAAGAGACCTGCAACAAAAAAGGAGGAAAAGGAGACAACTCTCTTGATAGAAAGATCACGAGTTCCGACTTTTTGTTTTTCTAGAAGTCTTTTTTTTTTTTTTTTTTTTTTTTTTTTTTTTTTTTTTTTTTTTTTTTGGACCATTTCTTTTTTTTTGCGTGTCATCCTTGCTCAGGGGCCATGCTAATCTTCTTTCACTGTTTCGTTCCAATTTTAACGGAAAAACGTAACTTTTGTTTTTCTAGAAGTCTAATATTGTATTGTGATATCTTTTTATTAGAAGACAATGATGCAGTAGATGAACCTAAATATTGGAACTTAGATTTATATAATTTTTGGGTAAACCCTGGCAATGGACCAAGACGGCGTACTATTTTTAGACGAGGGCCTCTATATCGTGACATAATTAATTACTCCTTAAAAAAAATGATCTAATATTAATTTCCATTATATATAACAATGTATTATATATGATATATATCATAATGTAGGGTATCAATATATCANAAAACAGAACAAGAAAATAATATTTAGATAAAAAATTATAGAATGAATTAAGCATCCCCCCTCTAAACCCCTTTATTCCCTATCTTATCCCCTTTAAACCCTTCCAGGCCCTATCAAGCTTTTCATGAAATAAGAACGTAGTTCTATTGTATTTTGCATGCGCAATATCACTTTTTTTTTTTTTTTTTTTTTTGAATTTGGACCATTCCTCGATTTATGCGTGTCATCCTTGCTCAGGGGCCATGCTAATCTTCTTTCACTGTTTCGTTCCAATTTTAACGGATGTCCCGAAGGACTCTTTTTCTAGAAGTCTAATATTGTACTGTGATATCTTTTTATTAGAAGACAATGATGCAGTAGATGAACCTGAATATTGGAACTTAGATTTATACAAAGCCTCATGGAATCATCTCGATACAAACAGAGACCTACGACATAGTCGCAAAAAAGGAGGAAAAGGAGAGAACTTCTCTACTTCTGTATCCAGTAAGAGAGACTTATAGGGAAGTCTGTACCTACCCCAGCTTTGTCAAAGAATGGTAAACACATGAACCATTCTGTTATCTGAGGATAAATCAATAAAGAGTTCAAAATTCAAATCCAAATTATTTAATACATACAGTGAGCTCAGGACCTAATTGCCTTATCAAATTCAAAAGAAGAAAAAAAGCTGGGTCTGTTCCACTTCTGAATCTAATAACAGAGCTCTACAAGGCAGAATTGAAAGAGGAGGGAAAGCAGAGAAAGACAACAGAAAACAGATGGCGGCATCACACAGAGGCCGGCGAGGGAGATACGGAAAAGAAAAGCAGTAATGATAGGAGAGGGGAGGATACTGAACTGAATTAAGGATAGCACTGTGTAGTCGGGGTAGGCGGGCATTAGACAATAGCGAACCATCGCAAGAGTCAGCAACATAAGATCTCTCTCTCTCTCTCTCTCTCTCTCTCTCTCTCTCTCTCTCTCTCTCTCTCTCTCTCTCTCTCTCTCTCTCTCTCTCTCTCTCTTTCTACATTACCAAGCCGGATGACGAGGAGGACGGTAGGGAAAATCCCTATAAAGAGTCAGAATCAGGATAGAAGAAATTATACCCAGCCCATGTGGCCAAATGGAATGGTACACCTATGAACATTTGAGGAACAGACAGCCCGGAGTTCAAATCCTGATGATGGAATCAGAATCAATATCAGATGAATGGAGTACCTCTGAGCTACCTGGCGCTGGTAAGTTCAATGAAGATACCTGAAGGCCCCGCCTATTTTGTCAATTTCAAAAAAAGGCAAATGCAATTATACAAGGAGACACGTGTTTGTAAGTTACAAATGGGAGTCAGGTGAGTTTGGCGACGAGTCGCTGTGGCGCCCTAAACCAGGCGACTCTGGCGATAGAGCAGACGCTTCGCGTCTGCTCTGGCGAGCGGAGTGAGTTACTCCAACCTCTGTTGGTTAACGGAGGTGGTATAGGTGAACTTGGAGCCTAGCTCTGTCGGTACACCCACGTTCGACTCCCGATGCAATATAGATGGATCATGAATCCATGTCACATTTTTCCTACTATCGGAGATGAACTAACAAACTGCGCCTTGCAGTAGGACCATGGCTGTAAAGGCCAGGGGGGGCAAAGCCACTACTTAGAGAAGGGGTTGGGGGGTATTTAATTTAAAGTTTAAATGTGAATTTCCTCATGACAATAGGCGGGTACCAAACTTCCAGCTGATCATTTCGACAGTGGACAGAACACTGTGCAGTTGGCAAAAACGTTCAAAAACCTAAACAGCTCAGAAGGCTGCCGAAGGACAACTCGTCACAGAAGATGTGTGTGTGATGTCATCCACTAAGAATCATGCACTGTCCCTTGCGACATCCGATAAAATTGGAACGATACAGAGACAATTAGCTAGCATGGACCCTGCGCAAGGATGACACGCATAAATCGAGGAAAAAAGAATCATGCACTAAGAATGGCGGGGCCCATAAAACAACCCCCTTATGGAGATAAAATGACAGAAGGAGAAGGGGGAAGGCAACTGACATTGCTCCTTTTTGAAGAAAAGCATAGGCTCCCCAATGTATGGAGCTGGGTTAAGCAGGGCAGGCGGAGGGGGCCAAGAGCGGGCGTGTGTTAGAAGTGCTGTGGGCAACAACAGGCATGCCTTGATGCACAAAACTTCTGGAAGTGGTTGCAGTCATCCATCAGCAGCAGAGTCATCGTGTGATTGGACATGCACATAGCGAACGTCAGGAAGAGAGAGAAGATTACACTGCCCTTCGTGGGACAAGTTCAAAATGGAGAGATACAGAGAAGATTATCATCAAAAGACAAGACAAAAGAAGAAACGAGAGCTGAAGGAAAAAGAAAGAAGAACTACAGAGAAAAAGAAGAAACAAAGGAGAAATGGAAAAAGAGAAGAGAAAAAGAAGCAAAGAAAAAGAATACACGTACACTGGCAAGAATCTCTGTGTCCTTCTGAGATGGTCTCTTGTAGAGCTCCACCCATATGTACGTATCAAAGGGATCAAAGCTGCAAAAGTCCACTCAACAGTCAAAGTCACCAGCCAATAGTCAAAGTCAACAGCCAACAGTCAACAGTCAACAAAGTCAACAAAGTCAACAGTCAAAAGCCAACAGTCAACAGTCAAAGTGCCAACAGTCAACAGTCAAACAGTCAAAAGTCAAAAGTTAAAAGTCAACAGTCAACAAAGTCAACAGTCAACAGTCAACAGTCAACAGTCAAAAGCCAACACTAAAACCAACTGTCAAAGTCAACAGTCAAAGTCAACAGTTAAAGCCAACAGTCAACAGTCAACAGTCAAACAGTCAAACAGTCAAAAGCCAACAGTCAAAACCAACTGTCAAAGTCAACAGTCAAAGTCAACAGTCAAAGTCAACAGTTAAAGCCGACAGTTAAAGCCAACAGTCAACAGTCAAACAGTCAAAAGTCAAAAGTCAAAAGTCAACAGTCAAAAGCCAACAGTCAAAACCAACTGTCAAAGTCAACAGCCAACAGTCAAAGTCAACAGTCAGAGTCAACAGTTAAAGCCAACAGTCAACAGCAAAAGTTGATATTCAGGAAGCCAGAAACAAAAAGAAAAAGGGCAAAAGAAGATACCCAACGGATACTCGCACTCGCACTACTTTTCTAAATGTGTCTCAGCGCAATTACGACCGGGCCTACATGCATCTGACCACGATTACGGCCATGTCTGGATGAATCTGACCGCAATCACAACCAGCACTCGAGTCGAAAAAGTAAAAAAAAGTTCTAGAGTAAGTATACCCTCACGCAGAAGACGCAACCTTTACTCTGTCAATGGTGAACTTAACAGCTTTCCAATGCTTCACAACTTCTTTCAAGTTTCAACTCTGAGGGAGTTGGATGACTTGTGCAAGCACCAAAGAAGAACGTGTCGGATTCGATTCGAAGGAAAAAAGAGATGTATTCTATCTGAATCAAATCCGACACCTCCAACACGTATCGCGAAAAATGACGGTCACTCCGTAGTCTGGTCTCCGCTCAATTTACGTTGCGGCACTAGTTCATAGCGGACATACTCAAAACCTGCTCCGGTGATAGACAGACACAATAGTGGGCACACTCAAAAAAAGACTTTCCCTGGCGACAGATAAAAAACTGGGGACCAAGACCCTCTCCCTTGACAATAAGAGGACAATGCTCATGGTGATCGAACTCCGCAAGGGTCAGTTGTGAAAGCACAGGAAATTCATACCCATCATTCCCATGGCTGTACACACTAACAATAACACCCCTTGCCAGCCTCGCCGACAGAAGCTGTATCTACACTGCCTGAGAAAACAAGCAACACCGCTGAAGAAACAAGAAGCCACGGTAGTGTGCTTCAGAATGCTGGTGAGCAGCCGACAAAACCACTGACACAGCAAGGGGATTTGATCATAAACACAGCCATCAGAATCCAAAAAAAGCGTCCATATGATATCGGCCAGGGTGCTCTCTCTCTCTCTCTCTCTCTCTCTCTCTCTCTCTCTCTCTCTCTCTCTCTCTCTCTCTCTCTCTCTCTCTCTCTCTCNCTCTCTCCACACACACACACACACAGCCCTCCCTCTCCCTTCCCTCCACCTGTCACTTACTCTCAGCTATCTCCTCCCTCCTAGCAGTGACACCTTGTGCAGAGAGAGAGAGAGAGAGGCATGCTCACACCCAAACAGAACCAAGGTTAAGAACAATTGGAGTCAGTTTCTCTTCAATATTCGGAAAGCCAAACAGTCGTGAGCATTAAATGACTTGCTGAGGTACATGGGTTCCCCCCAAACCAGAGAGAAAACAACGAAACCAAACGGCAATGCAATTTATTTGTCTTAGAAGCTGAGAACGGAAGGCTGAAACAGAGCATAAGCGTTGTCACCGCCAGCCCAACATATCAAGCTTACTTACTCTCTAAATGAAACCTCCATGGGAGCCGCAACTCCTGTCTTTTTCTGCATGTGCTCGTTGCTCCACTTTTCTATCCGAGCATCAATCTGGCAAACGACATGCACAAACGATCCACACACAAAAAGACATGGACAAACAATTCACAAAAAAAAAAAAAAAAAACTAAACAAACGATCCACAACAAAACAAAAAGAGAATGAAGTGTAAGGAATTATGCAAAGAGAACAACAGTAAATCAGATTGCAATATCTCACACCAACAGAAGACCAGATGTAATTGAGCCGAATAGAAAGCAGAAATCAAAGCGAAATGCACGCCAAATAGCAATACACCGAAGTCTGTCGGTAAAGGAAGTCACTCCTTCCGCCTCCAATCATCAAAGCAACGGCGTTGTACTGCTTCTGCTGGCATCCTGAACAGCCATCCTACTTCCTAGCTTCTACTTGTCTAGCCTATCTACACGTCAGCACACGACCATGTGTGAATCATACAATGCCGCTATGAAGACTCTGGTCACAGAGCCGGCCTTCGTCATCATCAGGTATGAGACTCGTTTCTGCCACTGACCTTCTCTGTTACTCCCCCCCCAAGGATCACCGCACCTCCCACCATCCAGCCATGGCGTGCTCAGCCCAGCTATGGCTGGCGCACACCTTCTTCCTTCTTCCTGCCACCGCAGCAGCTTCCTTCATGGGCACAGCGCTCAGCTACTGCACGAGCAGCGCTGCTGTGCCTAAAATGTGCTAGACTGCCCAACCTCTCCTCCTTTCATTCTTCACCGAGGCTGCGAGCAGGCCCAGTGTACGGGGGGCTGTGGGCAGACCCAGCGTGGACAGGCTGGGCCTACTGGGCTGTGGGGTCCCACCCCTACAAAAAGATCCACAAAAAGAACCTGTCCGACAAAGCCCCCATGGGTCAATGTCAAGACAGGATCGACAAAAAGAATAAACAATTCGCAAGAAATGCACACAGGATCGACAAGTACCTCCCCCCAAGGGTCAACGTACAGAGTTTTTTTCTCTTTCTTTCTTTTTTTGAATAGAGCTATGAGGTATGTACCATGTGCAGGAGCACTTGGATTTCCTTTCTTGTGGCTGTGACCATGCTGAGGGGGTTCTCATTTTCGTGGCTGGGTTGAAGGGGTCCCTTTGTCTCTTTTTTTAGGGAAGGGTGGACGACGAAGAGGAAGAGGGGAGAGGGGGGGGGGGGGGGGGGGGGGGGGAAGGACAGGAAGGGAAGGAACCATTTTTTTTGTGGCTTGTGAGCATGGATCGGTTTGATGCGTTGGTGGTTCAAGGATGGAGAAGGAGTAACTTTGCACGTATGGCCCTGTAAATTGGCTTGTTTTTGTAAATGCCCGTGTCAGAATACACCGGGGCGAATATGGACCTCGATCCCAATCACAGCACTGGCTTGCCTGCTGGCTCAGATGCATTCTAACAGGGGCCTCTTTGAAAATCAGCCACTGTCCATAGGTCTTCTGTTTAGAACCGTTTGTAAACAGCAAAGCGCAGGGGAAGGGGAAGTGGAAGGGGAAGGGGAAGGGAGGGGGAAGGGGAAGGGGAAGGGGAAGGGGAAGGGGAGGGGAGAGGAAGGGGCCCGGGGGGGGGAATGGGGGGTTCAAACCCGACCTTCTTCTTCATTGCTTCAGGATCTCCAATGCTATCTTGAAGTATCTCTGCCCACGCATCATCAACCTCAGCGCTCCGCTCAAGCACCCTGTTTCAGGAAACGGCCCCAAAAGCAGCAACAAGAAGAAACAAACCAATTTGTCAGGTAACAATCTTCGAAAAAGAAAATTGATCAAGAAAAGAGGTTAGCTTGATATTTTGTTTGGATCAATATATTTAAAAATTAAATATACATAAATTGTTGACAACAAAACGCCATAAATTAAGAGACGCTAAGCAATAGTTATGCATCCACGTACGACAGTTTACAAATCAGCTATTGCAAATTAGTACAATAATGACAAGTAAAGCATTTTCAATCTGATATCGTGTTTGGAAGCATGTTCTCGGCCATTGCGTGTTCCTTTCCCTGACAATAATTACAATTATTGCATTTTCTTTTATATATATCGTCAAATATAGTCAAAACTGCCCGGTAAACCATCGGCAGAGAGGGAGAAGAGGACAACAAACGCGGGGCTGTGACAAACTGTTTCGTCGGAGTTTCACCGACTCATCATACTCTGCCTACTGTTTACCGGGCAGTCTATGACGATACGTATACATATATGATATATATGTATATTCAGCCTCCTGATGAGTCAGTGAAACTCCGACGAAACAGTTTGTCACAGCCCCTCGTTTGTTGTCCACTTCTCCCTCTCTTCCTACGGTTTATCGGCCAGCTCTGTTTGACGATGTATAGTTCTCTATGACGATATATTGTCAAACAGAGCTCCGCGGTAAACCGTAGGCAGAGAGGGAGAAGAGGATCGTCAAACAGAGCTGCCCGGTAAACCGTAGGCAGAGGGGGAGAAGAGGACAACAAACAAGGGACTGTGACAAACTGTTTCGTATATATATTATTATATCGTCATAGAGAACTACATACATTTGTTGTCACATGTCAGAGCACAAAAGCAAATGGAAAACAGAAAGAAAACAAAGAAATAAATTCATTTTTTGAATCTTCTTCCTTACAACTCCCCCTGTTCAGAACCTCTTGCACACAAAGCGGCCCACGTGGATGTAGGTTGAGCGGCGGCTGCCCCCACCCCCGTGTGTCATATCGACCCACTTGCACACAGCCAAAAGGCGAAGAGGCAATGAAAAGAGGAAGGGAACAGCCAAACATTACAGAACAGGGGGCAAACAAATCCTAGATGACAAGTCCCACATGCAAACACCGCCCCCACGCCACCGGCCAAACGACGGGACAAACCAGCCAGGATTCAAAACACGATAAAGCCTTCGACACCACCAACAGATATGCATAAAAAACAATCTCAGTTGACGATTCCCACATATAAGCACCGCCCCCGTACTACAGGCTGATCAACCGGAAGCAACCATCCAGGATGCCAAAAAACAGCATATCTGCAAAAACGAATTGAATCTATTGTGGCTACCGCAACAAACATAAAAGACAATCCCAGATGACGATTCCCACATAAAAGCACCGCCCCCAAACCTAGGCCGAACAACGGGAATCAACCAACCAGAATGCCAAAAAAGAACCCGGATGACTAGTCCCACATGAAAGCACCGCTACGCATTCCAAATAGACCGAACAACGGGACAAAACCAACCGGGACGCAGACAAGGTTACCAAAACAAATTCTGCCATATCAATAGTAAGAAAACGGAACCATACAGTAGGTCCGTAAAATGAAATACCCCAACCATGGGGATGAGTAAAACGGAAAAACAGGAAAAAGAGAGAAAAGCAGAAAAAAGAGAGAGAGAAAAAGAATATATATAGATATATATATTGTCACATGAATATCAGAGCGCAAATGCGAAAAAAAGAAAAAAGGAGAAAAGAAAACCAGGGAAAATTGAGTTCAATTTTTTATCTTCTTCCTTATAACTCCCCCTGTTCAGAACCTCTTGCGTACAAGGCCGCCCACGTGGATGTAGGTTGAGCGGCGGCTGCCCCCACCCCCGTGTGTCATATCGACCCACTTGCACACAGCCAAAAGGCAAAGAGGCAAAGAAGAGAGGAAGGGAACAGCCAAATGAAACAAATAGAACAGAGGGAAACAA